CAGAGTGCTAAACAGCGGTCATTAGTGAAGAGTCCCAACAAGGAGCTAAACCCTCACAGGAAAACTTAGCTGTGGTTGTGTTTTTAGCTGCAAGACGATGCTCAACCTTAACATCTTAGCTCAGAGAGAAAATGGGAGCAAACAGGAAGCCCTCCTCTTCATCCTACCGTCATAATCCCTGCAGCGCTGCTTTAGCGGAGCGCTCTTGTTGCTGAAGGGCTTGCTGACGCCATCTTGTCTCTGAGCGTTGTAGTAACTAGACCAGCTGTCTGTAGTGCTGTCGGGCAGGTGAGCGGAGGTTACGATAGGAACTCCAGGTCCTTGGGGTCCCGTGGATGAGGAGGAGGAGGAGGAGAAGGGGTGCTGAGGTGCAGGAAGGGCCAGCAGAGAGGATTGCTGGGATGTGGCTGAAGTGTTGTAGCCGTCCGTATCCTTTCTCTCCACCTCAAACTTGGACTTGAACTCTGTTTAAGACGAGAATAGACAGTGTTACAGAAAATTTCCCCAAAATGTCAGACTCAGATGTGCAGCTTAACCTTGGCGGTAATAAGGCCAGTTCCAACCCATGCTGCTGAAACCCCAGTGATGTGAATGCAAAGCTGTCCACATCCTTCCGTTTCTCCTCCAAAACTTTCAGAAACTCCAAATCCAACAAAACAAAACCGCCCTCCCTCAGTCTCCTCTATCCACACCAGCTCATGCTCAGGCTGCTCCCAGGCCCCGTGCTGTCGTTGCTCTCACCTCTGCCTCCTCTGTGCTCCCTGCTCTTCCCCTGGCTGTTGCTCCTGCTACGACTCCTGCTGCGGCTCTTGCTGTAGCTCCTCCCACGGGGGCTGGCTCGGCGACGCTCATGGCGCTCCCGCTCACGGTGGGAGTCGCCGACACCACCGCCTTTCCCGTGCCGCTCAAAGTCCCGCCTCTTGCGCTCGTCCCGCCTCCTGTCGTCACGGCCCCTGTGAGTTAAAGGGAAGATATTTGAATAGCTATCTCTGCCTGTTTTAAATACAACAGCCCGTAGGAATCGCTCCAGCTAACGGGTGTCATGCATTCTTATGGGAGCTCTGGAGGAAGATGCGGACCTGTAGCTGAGAGAAGGTTTTATTGTACCTAGATATAATACAAAATAAGCCTCTGTGTGTGTGTGTGTGTGTGTGTGTGTGTGTGTGTGTGTGTGTGTGCGTGTGTACTCTGACATGTTAGCTAACATCCCACAAACAACTAGACTGTGTTTAATGAAAAATTCACACAGTAATTCTTAAGATGCACATGTACAAAACTGTGAATTTTACAAATATTTAGCTGAAATTTGACTTTAAAGTTACAAAAGCAAATTTGAAAACAAATTAGCTTAACGGTCTAACATAGTATTGATAAATATATATCAATTTATTGTGAAAAAAAAGTAGTTCTCTTGCATTTTTCTAAAAACCTCCACCAACAACACTTTTATGACCAAAAGCAAATATTGGACCATCCGGTTGTCGGTTTCTCCTAAATGCCGGACTTCCTTGGGTCCTCCATTTATGCACACTCCTGTATTTAGCAACAGAACACCACCGGTGTGAGAGGTTCTCCGCTCAAAAATATCAGAGAAGGAGAAACAGCCGGCTGCTACCACTTCAACTTTAGGACAAACTACCAGAGTCCCAAAAAGAAAAACACCATTTGATGTCACAAACAACAAAAGACCAAGAAAATGGCGACTGGTGTTTAGCTCCTACTTGTTTAAGGCATCACAGGTTTCAGGTTCCAGCAGAAGCATCTTGGATCTTGGAGAAGATACCCGAGGGGATGGGTGAGCATTTCATGACCATGTTTGCATTCAAAATCTAGCTTGTTCTGTAGATTCGCTACAGCCACCCCCCCCCACCCCCAACCACCAAAACAACTAAATGATTGTTTGAGATCTTGCAACATTGCAGATCATGTTTATTCGAGATTTAACTTCAAACCAACACAACATCCTCATTTAAGCACGAGGTGAACTTAAATTCTGACATTTTCCTTTTTAACATCCTTCAGAATAAAACCCTCCTTTTATTATCTGCTCCAAAACATGCTTGTAGTTTGCTGTTATGCTACTTTCAGCTAATTAAATAGAAAACTTACTATCTGATTATTCGATGATGAAAGCAGCATAAAAAACTCCAAAGGAACAAACCTCTTGTTGGCTGGTTGCAGGATTATGTTAATAAATGTGTTCAGGGGTGTAAAAACTTACAAATAAAGTTTGGAAGCATGAAAACTCCTGTTTTGATTTCTGATATCAGCAGTAACTTATCATCAGGGCTAAAGGCCAAGTCTAAGGGCAGCAGAGCGTTCATCAGGCTAAAAGCAGAAGTCATGGGGTTTAAAACCAACCATACCATCTTACACGAAGGTTTCATGAAGAGTTAGTCAGACATTTTAGTGATATAAATGACATGAATACTTCCTTCATCTGCCACAAATTCAAAGTGAAGCACACAGCCTTACCTGGATTCGTTGAAGTTGGAGCGGGCTCTCAGGGGGCTTCTCCTGCGCCTGTTTTCTCTGTCCTCCTCTGGAGTTTCAGCCTTGAGGGAAACGGCAATGAAGTTACATGGGAAAAAAATAAAAATAAAAAAGACAAACATTCAAAGGAAATGCTTTGATCAGAACCCCACAAGGAAAGCAGATGGTACTTTTGCATTAAAAATGCTCTAGACGTTTCCTAGACTGGTTTACAAACTGTTCATTTTTAGATCCAACCAAAGGAAAGCCGGACTTTTCTAACCTCAACAACATCGGTCTTCACTGCAGACGGCTTCACCTCTTCTTTTGGTGACTCCTTGGCAGCAGGATTTCCCAGGTAGTTCTTTGTTGTCAGGGACTCAAAAAGCTTATCAACAAATCCCATCGTCTCTGCATGGATGACATAGCATAAATTAAACATTTGACTCCAATCTTGTGCATTTACTTTACCTCTTCAATGAATAAAACTGACTTTAAGGAAGAAATTCACTGAAAGCTCTAGTTTCCTAATAATATGCAATTAATGAATCCTCGTATCTGCTCTAAAATGATCTAAAACAAATGACAGTGTTCTAAACGTACATGTGTTATGTGCAATAGCTAAGTTTAACTAATCATTTGCTTTTGGAAACACTGACGACAAAAGTTATATGTGTTTAAACCGCAACAAATTAAAGTTTTAGACTGCTTAAGTGACGCAAACTCCCTCAGCTGGTCAAAAATGGTAAACTGTGAATTTACTAAATTGCTCTTGTAGAAAAATAACGTTCTTTTCTGTGTCAGAGGAGTCAAGATGAAAAAAGATAGACGAAAAAAAGCAGGGAGTTAACCAGTTAATTGGCATTAATGTTGTAACCGGGTAAAATAGTTCTGCTCAGTTAACTGCTTAAAGAGCAAGTCACCCCCAAACCAACTTTTTTTCTGATAAACTACATGAATGAGTGTCTAATCGTGCTGCAGACACGTGCAGTCGATAGTTTTGCACTTTAGTGCATTTTAGTTAAAAATTTACTTTTCTGCCTAAAACTGAGCTCGTCACATGACCAAACAAATGTGCTCAAACGTGAAGCGGTTAGCAAAGAGCACAGAGTTGGAGCAGTTTATTCTTAGTAATTCCATTCTTGGAAAACAATAAGCCTCACATCAAAGCGCTGAGCCTGGCAGAACATGGTGCAGCAAAAGGTCAGTCGGCCATGACGCTTCTGCTTGTTTCGTCTGACTCCTGATTTGTTTAGTAAAATGAAGAAACGTCAGTGTAATTAGTGTTCAATGTGTGGAAACTTTTTTTTAAATGTGGCCTCCAGAATGTGTTAATAAGCACACAAACATAACAGCGCTGTGTATTGATGCCAGATGGTCAGCTGCACAAGTTCCAGGTCTGACGGACATTTCAGCTGGCATCCCATTCTCTCCATTTCTTGTTCATAAATCTAACGAGTGTGTGACTTTAGTTGTGCATCAGAATTCTAAAAAGAAAAGAGTAGACGGAAAAAGTGTTACTTATAGAGCGGGGGGGGGGGGGGGGGGGGGGGGGGGTGATGTTTGTGCGTGTCCGGGATTGGGGGGGTTGTGGTATGTTACAGTTAATCGGGAAGTAAGTAACCGGTTAAAGAAATTTTGGAAAACGCGCATCCCTAACAAAAAGCATTATTGCTAAAATACCACTAGCAGTCACCGTGCTGAAAATCTAAAATGCTGCTTTTGCAGATTCTGGGTAAAGATCATCTGACCTTTTTAATATAAATACAGCATAATTCTCATTGTTGCTTCACAAAAGAAAAATAAATGAACTCAACATAGAGCTGGGCGATACGGCCTAAAATCAATATCACGATATAATGAGGAGTTCACCTGGACAACGATAAATGGACGATAACTACACGTATGTGCAGAAACAACAGTTGTCCACTAGATGGGGCTGTCGTGCGTATTACGTTGAGTCACTCCTCATATGACTTTTGGTGGTACAGCTTCTTAAACGGACATAACACCTTACCATTTTTTAATACTGAATTTATTGACATGGGAAAAATTATATTGGTTACAGTACATTTTGTTAACTATAAATTTTATATTTTTTGCCCAGCCCTAACTAAGCATTTTCTAAATGGGGTATTATTTCTGACAACCATCGGGACTGCTCCATTTCCACCCAGGAAGCGGTTGAAGTATCCTGTGTGGGAATATATCAGTTATATCTAAAATATTTCCACACAGGAGACTTCAACCGCTTCCAAGGTCCTGATGGTTGTTGTCACTGGCTCTACTCCAGCTGTGTGTGCGGCACGCACTATTCAGTTCCACTTTTGTGTTTGTCTGTATAGCGCGGGTCGCTCTATTGCCCTCTTGTTTTTTCCAGCCGGTGTTGGAGAAGTTTTTACGGTGGGTTAACCGGGGTTAATAGTCAAACCGGTTAATCCCTGCAACCCTAACCGACAATAGAAGAAACAGTATCAGTCGACCTCTAAATGACAAACTGTAACATTAAAAAGCTGACCACATTGTATACAAATGTTTTCATTTTTTTAATTATTATTATTATTATTATTATTACTTAAGGGAAAATCTTAATTTTATTCCAGGTAAGTTTCAAACTATAGCATAAATTAGTGCTTGTTGTGATTACATGGAGTACGATTCTGTTCCAAATGCCGTCCTTGTACTCCTGTATTCGTTAGGACGGATTTTCTGCTCTACTTTCATACTTTGGTATTGAGTCTCACTTTTAAGACATAACCCTTGTTTTTAAATGAGATTCCAAACAATTCTCACACTACTTTGAAATAATGTTTAAAGCGTTGTAATTTAAGATTTCTTCACAATATGAGATGCACAAAGATGCAATAGCAGAAACATTTCCATAAAAAGCTCAAATTGCCAACGTTGTCACAGCAACAAAGCAGCTTTGGGTTAACTTCTCACCCTTTTGTAGGAAGACATCAAGCTGATCTGCGCAGAGAGCCTTTAGCTCCTTTTCCGGTTTGTCCTTCTTCACAAGAGCCACCACATAGTTGGCCAACGCAGAGGGGTCGGCGTCACATCTGCAGGTCAAAACGAATGCACGCTCAGTTTCAGTTTACACCATCAGATCACTTTAATTCAAATACAAAGGGAAAGCAGTATTTTATCACTTTAAACTGGTGATACAAAACAGCAAACCTGATATATTTACACAGTGTGACGTTGGTGTTTAATGCTCTGGTGCTCTTTTATTGTGTTCAGAAGAAGATTGACAAATCAGTTGACTTAAAAAGCCATCAAAGACAGTTAGAAGTGGAAATCTTACATATAACTGATGTTTTCCAATTTCTGCAACATTAAGCAATAAAATACAGTTTTATAAAAGGTCTGAACCAACGTTATTGAACTAACGCCATATATAAGAGTAGAGGTGCTGAAAAAAATCAATTCAAGTCTGAATCGGAATTCTTATTTATAGATTCAGAATCGATTCCCAAAGGTTCAGAATCGATTCCAAGAACTCAAATATTTCGCATGTTACAGGTTTGAGATGCACTTTTGTCAGTTTAAATCTTTGTTAGGAGAGTTAGTACTCTGTTTACTTTTGTGGTCCCATAAATTGAGATGATTTATGTTCGAATCTGCTGGCAAGAGAGCACTTGAATGTAATTCTTTCCATACTTGGAAATTTGAGATATTCTCATATTTATTTTCCAAGTTGATAAATGAGTACTCAGGATTACTCATGTAACTTGTTTCTACACATACCTGAAAAGTATTTGACCGTATAACTTTCAAAGCTACTGTTAGGTGACTACAGATTTGTTATATTTTACAAGGTAAGCAAAAATAAATGTTGCCTTTTGGTCAAAAGATTGCTTCTGTTTACAATTTTAGAATCACTTTATTTTACATTGTAAATTTGCTTTTTTGGAGCATGACCAGTTTAAAGTCTAATAAAAATGTCCCATAGCTTTAACTAACTTGTACAACAAAGTAGTTAATCCTGGAGCTGAAACTCTTTGTTAATACTGATTGTGAATCGATTTAAATTGAGAATTGAGAATCGATTCTGAATCGAATCAAATCGTGAGTTGCTCTAAGATTCACATCCTTATATAAGAGCCTCTTTTAAACGTCTGGTGTAAACAACACACAGGCACCATAACTGGATCAATACCAGACAACATAAAACCATAAAATGTGAACAAGAAAATGAATGTAAACAACTTGTTAATCTGCAACTACCATCATGCACTCTTCCACACATCATTTTCACAGTTATACATCTAAAAATATCAACATATTATAAAAGAACTAACTTGTGGCATTAAAGAAGTGACACTACACTAACTTCTACTAGAAAACTAGTAGGAAAGAAGCTGGAAGCAACGTAAATGAAAGCAGAACAGCCTGTGTCTAAACTGCATCTGCTCCAGTGAACTGTCGTAATCTGATTACTAACACACTAGTGAAGCCAACATTTAGAACTGTCTAACACGAGGCACAATATTAATTTCGAGGTTTTCCTGCCCTTCTGCTAACCGAAAGCCCAGCTAGCTGCAACATCGGTGGCTGGCTAACTCGTGCAAGATTCGGCCATCTGATTTTAGCACATCTTCTATTGATGCCTGGCTCGCTAACTAGCGTAGCATGCAGCTAAAAGTCATTTCGGTTCAACACTCACATTGGCTCCAGGAGTTTTGCAAGCCATGTCTTCAGGGCTTCGACATTTTCTATAATCATTGTGAGAAAAACTATAATACTGCCTATGAAAAGAAAGTGCGTTTTGACAACCCTACGCTCATCGTCTATGTATTTATAAGCTTTAAGGCCTGCTGTCTGTCTTCTGGCAGGTCGCGCAAAGTGTTTTACGGCATGGCAACACAAGTTGAGTTGTCGTAAAGCATGGGGAGTTTTAAAAACAACAGCTAATAAAATTAACAAAGGTGAGTTTACTGTTGTCAGTGGAACACGTTAAACTAATAAAAATATTCATAGTAAGATCAAGATGTAAAAAATTATCAAACCGTTTTTGTACGACACTAAATAGGTCACGTGGACTACATTACCCAAGAAACACAGCGAAAAGCTGATCGCGTGTGTCATCATCCGGACACCGGTGGCGTGGGTTTCTTTTGACATACTGGAGACTATTTCAACCCTTTTTTTCCCGAAGCAATAAACAATATTGCGATTAATTTTGTTCAGAATGACGGTAGGTTTAAAGTTTTAAATGTTCATAGTGGGGTTGTTTCTTAGCGAAGAAGCTGTTTGATTTAGTACGTTAACTTATTGTAGCCGTTAGCCAAGTTAGCTAACATGAGCGTTCGGAGATCCAGCTGCAAAAACGTTCTTACAGCACAATTTAAAACTATTATTAGTTCTGTCGAGAATATAGTTCATAAACCGTTTATGTCAGTCTGTCACATTTCAGCGTATCATAAAAACTAGGTAACTGTTTGGCATTTTGTTCAAGGAACGAAAAGGAACTGCAAAGTTGGACTATTTAAGAAAGATTGAGTTAGAAATTCAAGACAAATGGGAGAAGGAGAGAGCATTTGAGAAGGATGCACCGACAACCATTGGAGAAAGCACCAAGTGAGTTTCTGTTTTACACCCGTATCAATTTGTTAAGGCGTAAAACAGGTTTGATGCTTATTAATCAATCTCCATTTGTGTTTTTTCTTCTAGCAAGAACAAATTCTTTGTCACATTTCCTTACCCTTACATGAACGGCCGATTGCATCTTGGCCATACATTCAGCCTGTCAAAGTGTGAGGTGAGTTTGCATACATTTTAAACGTTTTACTTCCCTTCACACGTGTAAAAGAAAATCTAAACTTAAAACCTTTGATCTTCTCATCTTTTTGTCGTTTTGCTATGAGCTTCTCTCTTGTTTTGCTGCAGTTTGCGGTGGGTTATCAGTCACTGAAGGGGAAGAAATGCCTCTTTCCGTTTGGGCTGCACTGCACAGGCATGCCGATCAAGGTAGGTGTCAGTTCTCTATCTGCTATGAAGTTGAGAAGCAGTTATTAAAAACAATCTGGATTCAGGGTGACAACAACTAAAACCTGCCACAATCAGATTTTGTTGTCTCTACATAAAAAGGAAAACTAGAAAAAGATAAGTTTTACTCTGAAAGTTCTCACAAACAGCCCAGGGTTGGTATTTGGCAGGGGTGGAAAGAGTACTAAAATTTCCTATTTAAGTACAAGTACCAAAACTTTAATTTTTTACTCAGTTACAAATACTTTCCTAAATTTTTACTCAAATAAAAGTAAAAAGTATCGTAAATAAAATGTACTCAAAGTAAAAGTCATTAAGTTACATTTATGTCAGCGTAAGAATGGCTACATCCAAGTAGTGCAAAATCACAACGCCAGATCACAATACACACACACACACACACACACACACACACACACACACACACACACACACACACACACACACACACACTGCAGCATGTTAGAATCATTTGAATAACTAATTTAACTACATTAAACTGCTTTTGTAATAATTTAATATCTTATTCTGGAGTAAAATAAAGAAACAAGCTAAATCATCACACATCTGTGGCATCAAGAAGCATCTTCTGAGTTCAAACACAGGGATGGAGCACAATGTTTACAACTGAACACTATCAGGATGCTTTAATCACAGAGGCCTGCAGGTCTTCTGTGTAATGAGCAAAGTGCAGAGAATCCGCTTGTTATGAGTGCTAAACGTTATTTTGCCGCTTTTGTGCGGAGCGGTAGGGAAACACATTTCAAACACGGAACAGAGTCTCACTACCGAACCAAGCGGAATTGTGATGACGTCACACCAGTGGGCGAAGGTGCGGGTTTCAACCCACAGGAGAGGAGGGAGAGAGGAGGTGAACAGCGAGTGGATCACAGGGACTGAACTGATGTTTTTGAGCAAAACTGCGGTAAAAATGGCTGTTTGTCCTCAATATCAAAGGTGCACCTCACACCCCCCCCCCTTCCCGCCCCACGATTTAGACGCGGTGCTCATGCAGGTGTCTTTCTGTTCCGACGCTGCGACACGTAAAATTTTTAATTTATTAAGCCTCCGATTTATTTTTACTCCGTAATGGATATGATTTAAATTGTGGTGAATTACAATTCTTTTTAAAAAACATACTCAAGTATAAGTAAAAGTACAGGTTTAAAAAACAATTTAAAAAGTATAAATATACATAAAAGCTACTAAATTACAGCAACATGAGTAAATGTAATTCGTTATTTTCCACCTCTAGTATTTGGAGACGTTTTTGAAGGTTTAAATCCAAAACTGATGATTAAGGCCTACTAATGATAGCAAGGCACACTTATTATTCCTTCTTACATAGTTGGTGCCTGTTCCATCTGATCATTCTAGCCAAATTTCTGGGCACAGATGCTCAGTGTCAAGAGTAAAGGAGCTACAAATCTTGGTGCTAATGCAGTTATTCAAGAAGATCTTGTCTACATACTTGCTTATTTGAATTTCTTTACAACAATTTATGGTTTTTAAAACAGCTCTTAAACTTGTGTCTGTATAAACTCCTTGAAAACTGAGATGATGACTGTAATGTTGTCTAAGGGAAGGAAAACAACTAAAAGTAAAGCACAAGTTCTGTTTTCAGAAAAATATTTCATCTTCCATTTTCCACTGAAGCTGGCAAAAAGTTATGTTTGTATTTTCTTCGTCGTATTAAACACGGATGCACTAGCGTATTAAACACTGATGCACTAGCTTCTCATCCAGACTACGTATCCTAGGAAAAGTGGAAAAGCAGATCAAATTGTTAGTGTCCCGCTTACCTCTGTCGCTAAATGTGTGTTGTGTGTCCACCAGGCCTGTGCAGACAAGTTGAAGAGAGAGATGGAGCTTTATGGAAACCCTCCACAGTTTCCGGATGAGGAGGAGGAGGAGGAAACGAAGGAGAAACCAGCAGCATCTGATGAAATTATCATAAAGGACAAGGCAAAGGGCAAGAAGGTTAGGACCTGAAACTTGAGCTCAGTTTTCATCCTAAATGTCCAAGTTTGTGTTTTTTGGTTGTTGAACATTTTTAAACAGATACTGGATTAAAAACACAAAGAATGTATTCTAACAAAGAAAATATTAAATCATTTACTGCTTAATCTTCCTTTGTCTCATTTGTCTCCTATCAGAGCAAAGCAGTGGCCAAATCTGGATCGTCCACTTTCCAGTGGGACATTATGAGGTCTTTAGGACTGAACGACCAGGAAATTTCTCCGTTTGCTAATGCTGAGCACTGGCTAGAGTACTTTCCTCCTCTGGCTGTCAAAGACCTCAAAAAGATGGGAGTCAAGGTAATTAACTGTCATTAATGGCAGTTTTACCTACTTTCATGTTTAATAGCTTAGTTGCCTTCTGAGCTTGTGCTGCAAAATCTTTGACCTTTTTAGGATGAGAAGCCTTTTAGAGATGATTTCCATTCACCAGTCAGCGGTGATGAAACGCTTCATTTCATTTTAACATCTCTTAGGTGGATTGGAGGCGTTCGTTCATCACCACGGACGTGAACCCCTTCTACGACTCCTTTGTCAGGTGGCACTTTCTCACCTTGAAGGAGAGAAAGAAGATCAAGTTTGGCAAGAGGTGGTGTTTTTATTTCCTCTCACTTTCAAGCAAATGAGGGCACATAAATCATTTTTATAATGACTTCTGACTTGAGCAGTTTAAGTTAACATTGGCCTAAGTTATATAGCTTCCCATGGGGCGATATTGGCTAAAACCAGCTCCTCTGCAGGTATACCATCTTCTCTCCTAAGGATGGACAACCATGCATGGACCACGACAGGCAAACTGGAGAGGTGGATGTGTTTTCTGTGTTCTTTACACACGTTATCCTTAAGAATCTCATATTACTTTTTTTTATTTCTGTCGGAGAAAATGTTATTTAAAGAGCTGTTTTTTTCTAACATTTATTTTCTCCAGGGCGTTGGACCCCAGGAGTACACACTCATCAAAATGAAGATCGTTGAACCTTACACTGCAAAATTTAAATCCAAAGTCTTTTATAGCAGGTACAAAGCCACAATCACCTACCTCTGTTCTGCTCGTAATACTAAAGTCAAGTTAAAGTTAAAAGTCCCAAAGTCATCATCACACACTGGTGAAAGTCATCTCTGCATTCGACCCATCCCCATAGGGGGGAGCGGTGAGCTGCAGCTGTGGCCGTGCTCGGGAACTATTTGGTGGTTTAAGTTCATGGAACACACAGTTATTTGTGCCCACTGAGACTTTTCTCAGAAGTTTTTTTCTTGTACAGACTTGTTGGGCGTGAAGTGTTTTCTAGTGACACCAAATTATAACATAAATATTGAGAAATCCACTCAGTAAAGAAAAGAACACCTGTTTGTAAACCCTGTTCTTCTAACAGTGCTGTGAAAGGCAAAAGCATCTTCCTGGTTGCTGCCACTCTGAGACCAGAGACCATGTTTGGTCAGACTAACTGCTGGGTGAGACCTGACATGAAGTACGTCGCCTTTGAAACAACCAGTGGAGACGTCTTCATCTCAACCAGCCGATCCGCCAGAAACATGTCCTACCAGGGCTTCACCAAGGAGAACGGAGTGGTGCCGGTGGTCATGGAAATACTGGGACAGGTACGTCTGCTGCTCCCTGTTACTCCAGAAAATCCTATTTTCTTTTCTTTTTAGGGCCTTTAGTGTGAAAATTGAACAATTTCAGTGTTCCATATTTCTGTAGCCAGTTAGATTTTCTTCTCGGTGTATGGAAGGAAATGCTTCACACGATTATTTTTGTCCATCTAGGATATCCTTGGCTCTGCCCTAAGTGCTCCTCTGACCTCCTACAAGGTTATCTATGCCCTGCCCATGCTCACCATCAAGGAGGACAAAGGTACACGTCCAGAAATGTAAATCGGATCGTTTAATGAGATCTAAATTGCAGCATTTGACCTTTTTGATTCTTTAAGATATCTGTTTAGAAGCAACCATTTGTCCAAAGCTAGTAGTGTTACAGATGTGGAACACTGGTTTAATCAGTACATGAGCAGTGGTCTCAAGTAGGACGGAATACATTGCAAGTCGCACTTGGGGGGAAACAAAGCCCTGGTGCACTGGGTCGAGAAGTTCATGTCCTCAAAAAATTAGCATATTGTGATAAAGTTCATTATTATCTGTAATGTACTGATAAACATGAGACTTTCATATATATTAGATTCATTACACACAACTGAAGTAGTTCAAGCCTTTTATCGTTTCTAATATTGATGATTTTGGCATACAGCTCATGAAAACCCAAAATTCCTATCTCAAAAAATTAGCATATTTCATCCGACCAATAAAAGAAGAAAAGTGTTTTAAATACAAAAAAGCCGACCTTCAAATAATTATGTTCAGTTATGCACTCAATACTTGGTCGGGAATCCTTTTGCAGAAATGACAGCTTCAATGCGACGTGGCATGGAGGCAATCAGCCTGTGGCACTGCTGAGGTGTTATGGAGGCCCAGGATGCTTCGATAGCGGCCTTAAGCTCATCCAGAGTGTTGGATCTTGCGTCTGTCAACTTTTTCTTTACATTGTCCCAGATTCTCTATGGGGTTCAGGTCAGAAGAGTTGGCAGGCCAACTGAGCACAGTAATACCATGGTCAGTAAACCATTTACCAGTGGTTTTGGCACTGTGAGCAGGTGCCAGGTCGTGCTGAAAAATGAAATCTTCATCTCCATAAAGCTTTTCAGCAGATGGAAGCATGAAGTGCTCCAAAATCTCCTGATAGCTAGCTGCAATGACCCTGCCCTTGATAAAACACAGTGGACCAACACCAGCAGCTGACATGGCACCCCAGACATCACTGACTGTGGGTACTTGACACTGGACTTCAGGCATTTTGGCATTTCCCTCTGCCCAGTCTTCCTCCAGACTCTGGCACCTTGATTTCCGAATGACATGCAAAATTTGCTTTCATCCAAAAAAAGTACTTTGGACCACTGAGCAACAGTCCAGTGCTGCTTCTCTGTAGCCCAGGTCAGGCGCTTCTGCCGCTGTTTCTGGTTCAAAAGTGGCTTGACCTGGGGAATGCGGCACCTGTAGCCCATTTCCTGCACACGCCTGTACATGGAGGCTCTGGATGTTTCTACTCCAGACTCAGTCCACTGCTTCCGCAGGTCCCCCAAGGTCTGTAATCGGTCCTTCTCCACAGTCTTCCTCAGGGTCTGGTCACCTCTTCTCATTGTGCAGCGTTTTCTGCCACACTTTTTCCTTCCCACAGACTTCCCACAGACTTCCCACGGAGGTGCCTTGATACAGCACTCTGGGAACAGCCTACTCGTTCAGAAATTTCTTTCTGTGTCTGACCCTCTTGCTTGAGGTTGTCAATGATGGCCTTCTGGACAGCAGTCAGGTCGGCAGTCTTACCCGTGATTGCGGTTTTGAGTAATGAACCAGGCTGGGAGTTTTTAAAAGCCTCAGGAATCTTTTGCAGGTGTTTAGAGTTAATTAGTTGATTCATATGATTAGGTTAATAGCTCATTTAGAGAACCTTTTCATGATATCCTAATTTTTTGAGATAGGAATTTTAGGTTTTCATGAGCTGTATGCCAAAATCATCAATATTAGAAACAATAAAAGGCTTGAACTATTTCAGTTGTGTGTAATGAATCTAATATATATGAAAGTCTAATGTTTATCAGTACATTACAGACAATAATGAACTTTATCACAATATGCTAAGTTTTTGAGAAGGACCTGTATAAGTGAGCCAGATCAGAAGAGAGCTTCAGACGACAGGATTTCAAGTCTTATTTCCTGATATTTGGACATCTCACTTCTGATTGGCTAACAGCAATGTGACTCTACCTCTGACTTGCAACTTTTATCTCCACAAACAACACACACCTGAAAGAGTTCTTCTGTGTTGTGGAGTTGCTAAAGCTAAAGGTTGGCTTCTATTAGCCAAGATGTTCTCTGCTGTTTCCTGGACGCTAAACCAGCAACAGCCTTCCCTGTCGAGACTCGAGGTGGGTGAGTCCATGAATGTTAAGTGACAGCGTGACGTAGATCTTTCAGGCTTTTCTAATCCTAGAGTTTCACCATCTATTTTCTATCAGAAGCTAATGCAGGAGATAGGTGTAGGAGACTGTTTTCATGTTCAGCCTGCATGAAAAACTCCGATTATAATCAGAAATTATATTTTTAAAAAGGTTTTTCAGAGTTCCACACCCTTAATAATTGCACGACTCTTGGAGCGTTTGATGTTTTGTGTTCTATAATCAGAACTGAATAGATCTGTTGAAGCTACTCGACCTCCTTAATTTATTCTTAGATGATTTTTTTATTCCAGGAATTATTATCTTTTAAAACCTCTATTAAAGTAAATCTTTCATTATGCAAAATCTTAAAATGGAAAAATATCAGATTAGGCAAAAAAAGCTAAAGCTGTTGTTTTGTTTTTTCTTCACACAAAGTAAAACAAACTAAAACTTAAGACCTTTCTCTGCCTCAAATCCAGTTTTCCTTTATTTTTGTTTCTCATCTTTGTTGCTTGAGAGCTGCAGGTTAGTATTTTTGTCTAGAATTCACACATCGTTGATAAAATTCTATAAATTGAATTTCTGAGTCACTAAACCGATATGTCAGAATTTCAATGAGAAAAACAAAATCCTTCCTGCTCAATCTGTCGACTTGTCTTCGAGGGTTACGGAGTGTAATGAGGAACATTAAACGAGATCATGTGTTTCTCTCCTCTTTTCACAGTTGGTTAGCTGCTCCAGTGCACCTGCACAGCAGCTAATAAAATGTGGCATCTGTCGGTTTTGAATTAGTGTAAAGTAAAGTCAGCTGCAGTGCTTTTTTGCGTTCTGATGTGGCGTTGTGGTCTCTGTACAGGTACTGGGGTTGTAACCAGCGTGCCTTCTGATTCTCCCGATGACATCGCTGCTCTCAGGGACATCAAAAAGAAACAGGTGAAAATCTGACATTCAGACATTTGGGAACGCTGCAGGCGTAGACACACACGAGCGGTTATTAATTTAATTAACGTTTTATCTTCACTGTCCAATTTGCATTGTTATTAAAGGTGTTATCAAATATTTTATTTCATAAAGGCCCTCAGAGAAAAGTATGGAATTGAAGACAAGATGGTGTTGCCTTTTGAGCCGGTGAGCAAATCGCTTAATTTTCGCTGAATCTCCTCGTTTTGTCTCAGTCGTTAAACGTCTTTCTGTTCACGTGGACTTCTGCACATGCCAGGTCCCTATTATTGAGATCCCGGGCTACGGGAATCTGTCTGCTCCTCTGGTGTGTGATGAGCTGAAGATCCAGAGCCAGAACGACAAGGAGAAGCTGGCTGAAGCTAAAGAGAAGGTGTACCTGAAGGGGTTCTACGAAGGGGTGAGCAAGCACCTTTAGTGTTGGAGAACAAACACATGCAGACTCGACCTTTTAGACTCGGGTCCTCGTTTAGAAAGCTTGCTCACACACAAAACAGGGTCTGAAAACTGTAAGTGATTTAAAAATAAAACTTGGTGGGAAAATGGGCACGACTTTAAGGAAACCTTCGAGTACGACTTGGAGAAGGTCAGATGGTAAATTTAGGACACTTTTTCAGACTTGTAGACACTTGCGTGCACACACAACCAACAAGCCCCTCTCTGAACTCTGTATTTAAAATATATTGTTTTTAACATATTACTTTCACATATCTTCAAATTACTTCAAAATGGCACACTAAATTTATGGCACAGTTAAAACAGCACTTTTTTGGGGGGTTCATTTAGACTTTTCTGGGATTTTTGTTCAGCATGACATCCAAATGAGGTTTAGGAGGTTTATTTGTAAAAATGTTTTCATTGTTTAGCTTCTGTTTTATCCTGTAGCATCATTGGCTACTAGAAAATCCTCTTATCCAGCTCCCAGAAGGTGACGTGAACTCTGTGTGTTTCTCTTTTAGGCTGTTTAATATTCTACTCCATGTTAGGCTTAAGGGTGGCTGAAATTCAGCTTCTGTCAATCATTTCCTGTTTCAGATCATGTTAGTTGATGGGTACAAAGGTCAGAAGGTCCAGGATGTGAAGAAGCCCATCCAGAAGATGATGATCGACAGGGTATGACGCTTCTCATTATATTTCAGTATAGAGATGGAAATATTGGTTTTCTTTTGCCGTTATTTAGAGGCCACGGTCAGCCCATGGCCGATGTGTGCTGCCGATATCAAAATGTTGTCTACATTATTTGCATGTTAAAATGTCACTAATAACAGCAGATGCACATTTCTGAACCTGAATAGGTTTTTGAACACTTAATTTAACCAACTCTTGAATATTAATTCTGTGTGCTGCTAAGTGTTAAAAAGAAACATTTTATTCCAAATAAATCAAACAAATTAATAAACTGAACAAGTATTAAATATAATAAACTGGTAAATAAAAATAAATGTCAGTTATGATATTAATGCTTTAGAGTTAAGCAGATGGAACATTCAGGACCATTACGAGGTTGAATATGGAACAATTTAAGTTCAATGTAAGATTTGTAGGTTCTGACTTCATCCTGGAAAAAGCACTAGTCGCATCACTGAGTTAGCAGAAATATTATGGTGTTTCTGTCCTTTTACATCATTTAGTTTTTAATGGTGTTGTTTTGATGTGTGACAGGGTGAAGCCATGCTCTACATGGAGCCAGAGAAACAAGTCATGTCACGTTCAGGTGACGAGTGTGTAGTAGCGCTCTGTGATCAGTGGTGAGTCCTTCTGAGACTTTTTAAAAATGCTTCCTTTAGGGATTTTAAAAGAAAATGAACTTGAGTTCCTTTTGGGTGGTTGCAGTTTCTTGTGAGAACGGAGTTCATCAAAGAGTTGAAACGGTTGAGCAAATAACTAAAAGAAAAACATCTGATTCGTGTCCGACAGGTATTTGGACTACGGGGATTCTGAGTGGAAGCAGCAAGCTCACGAAGCCCTGAAGTCATTAGAGACGTGAGAAACTGACCTCCACATTTTGTCTGTGTCACCTGTCCTGTAGAGGTTGTCTTGATTAAGGGAGAGTATACATTCTAACTGCATTACTTGGTTCTTTTTAACACAGAAACACGTTTGATCTACTCCTGCAGTCTTCTCCAGAGCGTCACTTCCTTCTACTGAAGAAGGCTGCAGGAGTAGTTGAAACGTCAGCAAAAAAGAAGGTAAAACAACCTTTCTTTGTGTTAAAAAGAACCAAGTAACACAGTCAGAAGAAACACTCAGAATGAATGCACAAAATAAGTTTAAAGAGAATATACATTCACTGGCCACTTTATTGGGTACACCTTTCTAGTACTGGGTTGGACCCCCTTTTGCCTTCAGAGCTGGCTTAATCCATTGTGCCATAGATTCAACAAGGTCCTGGAAACAGTCCTCAGAGATTTTGGTGCATATTGACATGATAGCATCACACAGTTGCTGCAGATTTGTCGGCTGCACATCCACGATGCAAATCTCCTGTTCCACTACATCCCGAAGGCGCTCTATTGGATGGAGATCTGGTGACTGTGGAGGCCATTTGAGTACAGAGAACTCATTATCATGTTCAAGAAACCAGTCTGAGATTCGAGCTTTATGACATGGCGCATTATCCTGCCAGTTAGTACTAAGGGGTTCAAAGTGTGCCAAGAAAATGCCCCCCACACCATTACACCACCACTGATACAAGGCAGGATGAATCCATGCTTTCATGTTGTTGATGCCTGATTCGTACCCAATCATCCGAATGTCACAGCAGAAATCGAGCCCGTGCACACGATCCGCTGCCGTTTCTCACCACTATCAGCTGATGGAGGGCCCTACTTTTGTTTCACTGCCGTGCGCCATTCGTGTTAGGGGGCATGGTAGGGTCGGGGAGGGCGGGGCATGATGCTTAGCCTGGCGGGTGACCAAGCAAAGTATGGCGGGCCGCCAGGCTTATAAAGCACTGGGGGAAACCCTGCCTTAGTTTCCTGTTCTTAACTGACAGGAGTGGCATCAGGTGTGGTCTTCTGCTGCTGTAGCCCGTCTGCCTCAAGCTTCGACATGTTGTGCATTCAGAGATGCTCTTCTGCATAGCTTGGTTGTAACACGTGGGTATTTGAGTTACTGTTGCCTTTCTAGTAGCTTGAACCAGTCTGGCCATGTCTCCTCTGACAAGGCGTTCTCACCCACAGAACTGCCACTCACTGGATGTTTTCCCTTTTTTTGGACCATTCTCTATAAAACCTAGAGATGGTTACATGCAACAATCCCAGAAGATCAGCAGTTTCTGAAATACTCAGACCATCCCCTCTGGCACCAACAACCATGCCACGTTAAAAGTCACTTAAATCACCTTTCTTCCCCATTCTGAAGCTCGGTTTGGACTGCAGCAGATCGTCTTGACCATGTCAACGTGCCTGAATGCATTGAGTTGCCACCATGTGATTGGCTGATTAGTAATTTGCATTAACGAGCAGTTGGACAGGTGTACCCAATAAAGTAGCCAGCGAGTGTATTAATTTACCTTGTTGTCTGTTGATGCCAAATAGAAAAATGAACAAGTTAACTGCAAGCTAATTTTACAACAGTTGGTTGTTTGTGTGATTTGCACTATTTGTTGTTTTAGTGTGGTGTTGTGTTACATTTGGTATAGTAATACTAAGGATAAGTACAGAATGATATGTATAAAAGGGGTAGGGACATGTAAGTTTCGACTTCGGCCTACTTCTTTTCAGACAGAGAAGAAGAAAAAAGTATGATGATTTTATATATTTTTTTCTGTTTTAAAAAAAATGTATGTTTTCTTTGTTTGCAATAAAAATAAACTACCTGACATTCTTTAAAACAATTAGATTTTGTGAAGAGACGAGGAGAAACTTCGAGGCAACTTTGGCCTGGCTGCAGGAACATGCCTGCTCTCGTACCTACGGGCTCGGTAAGTGAGCTCCTTGCCTGTGTGTGATCCATCGACTTTAATGTTAACGTTCTCATAACCAGAAGTAAAATCCTAACTTTTACTCTTGTTATTTACAAGCTTGTGAAAGCTGAAGGGGGAAGAATCCCTAATGGATGACATTTTTGGTCCATAGATGGAGACAGAGGGCTGATAATTATGCGCTTAGCAACAGTCTGCCTCTTCTCCTACAAGAATAGATGCAGTGTGAAGGCCAGTTGGCTTGCATTACAAGACTGCTGCACAGCCCAGACTTTCTGTAGACGTTGTGAAAATGTGTCTACATTTAGCTAATTTCAACAAAATGCCAGGCAGATGCACGGTGTGCTGTAGACCGATATGAAGCACGCTGTTCAGAGACTTTTCACCTAAATATGATTGTTGTAAAAAATCTCAGTCTGGATTCTGGAACAAAGATGTAAATGTGTGCTTATTATAATGTGATGAAGAGATTTTAACTTGGGACTGTAGAATGTCAGAACATTAAAGTAGCTTGTTGTGATCAACGACGGAGTGAGAATGGGAATTTTTTATGTTAAATTCTCCACAAACATCATTATGGACTCAGAGCTTGTGAATAAATTAGGTAAGAAACTTTTTAGTTTTGTGGAAATGCTCAAACAAGAGCTGGGTGGATGTCAGATTATCTGATTAGTTTGTTTTGTCTAATTTCTGGGTCCATGTTGTCTTACTAATTTAATCTCTCCTCCATCTCTCTCTCTGGTTGTGTGTGATTGTATGGGTGCCCATCTCCTGGTTACCATAGGAACACGGCTGCCTTGGGACGAGCAGTGGCTGATTGAGTCTTTATCGGACTCCACGATCTACATGGCTTACTACACCGTAGCCCACCTCCTCCAGGGGGGTGTGCTCAATGGTCAAGGAGCCTCACCGCTGGGAATCAAGTAGGAATGCACCCCTCCACAGACACACTCACTCACATAATAATAATTAACTGTTAAACTAAATGCAGCTGGCCCTCCGTTTTCTGCCTTCAAATAACCAGTGAGGTGGAAGAGACTATTTTGTAATCATTAGCTTTAATTAACAAAACAAAAATGTAATTTCATGCTGTAATCCAAGTTAAGTAGACTCAAACTTGATTCCTAAATCGGAAGTGACCTTCAGCCTACTTTCAAACATATTACCTTTCCCTCTGGTTTTTGTCCTTCACAGACCAGAACAGATGACCAGAGAGGTGTGGGACTTCATCTTCTTTAAAACGTCTCCGTTCCCCAAGACGAGCATCCCTAAGGAGCACCTGCAGAGGCTGAGGAGAGAGTTTGAGTACTGGTACCCTGTGGATGTCCGTGTGTCTGGCAAAGACTTGGTGCCCAACCATCTCTCCTACTTTTTGTACAACCATGTCGCTATGTGGCCCAAAGACAAGTGAGTTTTCTTAAAGCGAATGAGACAACTGTTTTATTTTACAAGAGCAAAGTTTGAGGCTGTTGCCTGGAGAATAACGTGTTAATAACAGTTTGTAATTTAGGGTAAATTACAGTTTCAGCCTGTCATCCAACTGGCATTTCCTTAAAAGAAGACACGTTTAGACTTATTTTTCTTAAGTTATAACAGTTCTATGGTCAATACAAAATGTGTTTCTGAAGTTCTTTGCACTAGATCCCTCTCACATAAACCATCTCAGCAGTTTTATCCATCATGATATTTTAGGACCTTCCGGAATGAGTCGCTTCAGCACTCTGTCACTTTAAGAAAACAAGCTGGAGCTGGCCACGCCCACCCATATCCTCTCAGGCTTCTATTCACTGAGAAGCTTGGATATCTGGGAGGGCCTTAGAGTAGAGCTACTGTTCTCTATGTACAGCTCTCTTTAGCACATAAGAGGTGGTTCTATGCTAAATTCCCCATTTGTGACATCACAAATAGGGACTCTTAAAAATGGCTTGTTTTAGGCACATAATTTTTAAAATCAAAATGGATGCAGGGTTTTTCCTGCGTTCAAATTTGCGTGGCGGCCACCTCCAGCTATTTTTGTGCCACCCCAGCCTGATTTCACTTGGCCCCCAGCTATATGGATGTTATTTTAACTGCGGTTGCAGCGTTGCGCCACTATAGGGATGCTGTATCAGCAGCGGTGCACCGAAAAGCGCTAAAACTGCTGCAGAAAAAGATCAAAAATTGCTTTTCTCACTAGTTGGTACATATCTATGGCTGGTGCTACTGACGTCCTGATTTTCCCCCAGGCTCTTCCGTATCAGAGCGGGGCTGTACATTGTGACGAAAAACACTGTCTGTGCTTGTCTGTTTATTTTTAAACATAGCAGTGGTGCAACATCTTTGAATTACTATTTTCCCCAGAACTTTATTGAACAAAAGTAAGCTACGTGTAAGAAAAACGCTTTTTACTTGCGCACAGTGTGGTAATCTGGATGCAGTGGAGGAAAATAAAGGAACCAGCAAAGGTAAAGGCAGAACCAGTCCAAAGTTTGGGATCAAAAGTGCAGCTACACGCAGATTGGCTAATGCTAAAGCTAATGGCAGTCTCACGATCAAGTGGCGCAAAGAAAAATATATGATGATCATAAAACTAAGAAAGACTTAACTCTACAAGCGGATGAAAAGTCCCCACCATCCCGTTTAGTCTGCATCCTGCAGCTCTACAGATCAGAACCGCTGCAGATACGAGTCACATTACTGCTACAAGTCTGCTCCACACACTGGAGCAGGAAGTACAGCAAGCCGCTGTAGTATATAATTCTAATGCTTCTATCTTTGAACATAGTTTTAACTGGATTATTACCAACCTGTACATAATAGACATGTCACCATTACGTTGTTAGCAGCAGAAATTAAATGTTATTACCATTTCCAATACAAATGCATGTTAATGAAATGCATTATATTTTACTGGATATATTTTGTGTTATTTTGACTAAGATGAGTGTTATTAATACAAACCTAAAATGTTACTGAAATGTAGGTCAGATATTTAAAAATATTTTTAACTATAAATATCAGATGGAAAAAGGGAACTAAACACCAATCTAATGCATATTATTGAGCCTTTTATAATATTTTGCCTTTGAAAAAGTGAGGCAGTTGTATGCACCGAGTATGCATGTGCTGGCGCATGGTCAGGATGGTACCACCTCTGCCTCAATTTGAGCCAGGAAAAACCCTGGAATGGACAGGTTGTTTCATGTTTGGAGTGTTTATAGTGATAGTAGAGACCCACATGGCAGCACAAAAGGATGCAAAGGGTGAGTTTTGCATCATATTACCCCTTTAAAGAACTTGTAGTGAATGTGGAAAACCAGGGGGGAAGTGATGTCATCAAAAGAGCAGAAGGGTCACTGAATGGGCTAAAATGAGATAATTACCATACCAAGGACTTCATACCCCCTAGTTCTCAACCCAATTTGAATTAAATGAGAGATTTAAGACCCAAGATTCCAACATCATTCTACACCCTCACCAAAACGCCCAAACAGGAAATGAGATTTGAAATACTGTGATTTAATCGGCCCAGAGGATTTCTAGTATCTTCATGAAGCTGCCTCCTGGAACCCATGTGTTGCACCAGAACAATGTTTATCATTTAGGTGTAATGATGGTGATTTTCCAACATTTAGCCATATTAACATAATAATGGTGAAAATAATTGTCTTGTCCACAGTGGGAAATGGCCACAAGCAGTGCGAGCTAACGGACATCTGCTGCTTAACTCAGAGAAGGTATGCGTGTGTGCGTGCGTGTGTGTGCATGTGTGTGTGTATATATGCATACATATATATATATATGTATATATATGTATATATATGTATGTATATATATGTATGTATGTATATATATATATATATGTGTGTGTGTGTGTGAATTATTCTGCATATATTAGCTATGATTAAAGCTCAGAAAGCTACTATGTTACTTTAAGTCTAATGTCACTAACGGACTAATGTTTGAATAGTGTTTGTTTTCAAATAAACGTAACCGTCTGAACATAGGATTATGTGTGCTTTCGGAGCTTTTTTGATTAAACTGTTAAGCTTGCCAGCATCTGTCCTTTTTAATTTATGTAAACTTTTTCTACCAGATGTCCAAGTCAACAGGAAACTTCCTCACTCTCTACCAAGCCATCGAGAAGTTTTCTGCAGATGGTAAAATCTGATCATTTAACTCGTCCTTCTTGTTTACCCTCACAGCTCTTTATTCTAGATATTTGTGTTTTACTCTTCACTCACGTACAAGTTAATGTGTTTTACAAAGCGTTTGGCCATTACCTAAACCTAGGGTTGGGCATCGTTTGATTTTGAATGATTCCGATTCCAATTCCTCGTTTCGATTCCGGTTCCTATAGATTCCCAATTCCAATTCTTTCAAGACATGACATGTTTTAAATGAGCCAGCTAACCACAGGTCCTACTTGATGAAATAATCTTAATTTCAACATGAATTTTAATTCTGTGAACAATAACATCACCTTCATTTAGACAGAAACGTGTTTTGGAGAAAAAAAGAAAAAGACTTGCAGCACAACCAGTGTGTTTGTTTCTGACCACAACCAAAGTCTGGAAGAAGCCTCTGGGATGAAAGGCTGAATGTCTCCAACATATCCAGAAATGTCCAACTGTTTTCAGCTAAAACTCTCAGGATGATCATGTCCAGGATGACTGAGAACTACACCTCCATGCTGCAGCAGCTTCAGTCAGAACAGAAAGTGAAACTTAAATGTAGCTGCTGTCAGTAACAATCTAACAGATTTTAAACATTAAAACTCTCAACAGAAATAGTTCAGCAAGGAATTAAAAAATGTTATTTATTATTATTATTATTGTTTATTGTTGCAGAAGCTGGTGTGGTCCACCACAGAGAAGCTTCTCTAGCATGATGACTTTAATTATTCTACAAGTTATTGTTCAGCCTTCTGTCGCTCACACACACACACACACACACACACACACACACACACACACACACACACACACGAGTGTTGGTGAGCGGCTGCGTCTGACTGCTGACGCTCCGTGTGTGTTTTTATTTCTGCAGTGAGACAAACTCACCTCACACCGTCCAGTGTTTGTTCTTTAAAGCTTCTATTAAATCCACCATGTTGACGTATTTTAACACGTTTCCTCTCCGGCGCATTTTTGCTGCAGGAGTTTAAAGTTTACATCACAGAGTAAAAGTTCGGCAGATGCTTGTTCATATTTGGCGGGTGCGCGCCGGGAGGCGGGACTCGGTGCTGCACACAGACAGCTGGTGTGATCAGCTCTAGAAAGCGTTGATCACAATTTGCAGATCACGTTTCTTTTTCACGGAGATCAGCCGCGGATTCCTCTTCCGTCGGCATTCTAGGAATCGAAAAAAAAAAACTAAACGATCCCGGGAAAAATGAACAGTTGGAACCGGTTCCAATCGATGCTCGATGCCCAGCCCTACCTAAACCAATATTATATTTAGAAGAACTATCTGTATAAGGTGACTTGATAATGGATGCCTTAGTCAAGTTTTTATAAGGTGCAGGAAGAAATGAGCCTGTCAGGGATTTTTAAACAATTTCATTCAAGAAAGTTTGCTTGTTCAATAAGATCCATCTACCAGATTAAAATAATGTCTGATGACCGTTCGATAAACTAATAGAATGAACACATTGACTTCAACACTAAATGTGAATCTGATCAAATAAATATATGTGTGAACTTTTGGAACCAAGAATACATCTTATATGTGCAGCAGCAGGTTTATTTTTTATCGTATTTCAGACTAGACTTCATCTATCAAGGGCATTTAAACATGCCTTTTGTGACTAGATGTGGATTTGCAACATCTTATCTTTTGCTTGGATGCTTGAGAGCTTTCCAGACAGCTTTTTAATCCTTAAAATTATTTAAGTGAATGTGTCCTTTTAAAAAAGAGTTCAAAACTACATGAATGTGTCTGTTAAGCTTCTATGAGCTGATTTAATGGTCTCAGAGCAGATGAAGGTATTACTCTGACCTTGCATCTAAAATGTCAGAGTCACATCTATTCAGATATTTATTACATTCTTGAAATATTACGTTATGTGGAACACCAAAGCAGAACCATGTTAATCAGAAAACTCACTGTGATGGATATTGAAGCAGAGTCGATCATAAAGACTGGGGGCAATGTCGGGTTCCTTCATGGTTACGTTCTTGTCTGTGCCAGGTATGCGTCTGGCTCTAGCTGATGCTGGAGACACAGTGGAGGACGCTAACTTTGTAGAAACCATGGCGGATGCTGGCATCCTTCGCCTCTACACGTGGGTGGAGTGGGTGAAGGAGATGATCGCCAACCAGAACAACCTGAGGACGGGACTCATGGACACGTTCAATGACCGCGTCTTTGCCAGGTAGATGTTTGGGCTGCTGTAATTTCACAGGTGTAGAACTGCAGAGATTTGATGATGGAGTAACTTTGAAGAAGAAGAAAATATCATTTCTATAGCGCCTCTCAAGATAAAAATCACGAGGCGCTTCACAAAAACAAAAAAATGTTAAAATATAAAAAAGCATTTAGAAAGTGTTTAAAAATATATTTTAAATGAGCAAAAATAGGCAATTGGGATTTAAAAGAAAAAATGTAAAGAAAGGGAGAGAGTGAATAGGAAAGAGGGAAATCAGTGGATCCTGAGGAAGGTGGAATAGGTGGGGAGAGCAGAATAAAGAGAGTGGTGAAGAAGGTCATACAAAAGCCAGCTTGAACAAGTGAGTCTTCAGCTGCTTTTTGAAGGAGACCACTGAGTCCACTGATCTCAGGCTCAGGGGGAGAGAGTTCCAGAGTCTGGGGGCCACAGCAGCAAATGATCTGTCACCTTTGGTCTTTAGCCTGGTGCGTTGCACAACCATTAGGCTTTGATCACTGGACCTCAGGGACCTGCTGGGGGTGTAGGGACTAAGAAGATCACCAATGTAAGATGGTGCTTGTCCATGTAAGGCCCTGTAGACCAGAACCAGGATCTTGAAATGAACCCTGAAGTTGACTGGCAGCCAGTGAAGCTGGAGGAGAAGCGGGGTGATGTGGGTGTGTTTGGAGGACTTGGTCAGAAGCCGAGCACAGGCATTCTGAACCACCTGTAGACGGTTCAGGGAGGCTCTGCTCAGACACGTGAAAAGAGAGTTACAGAAGTCTAAGCGTGAGGAGATGAAGGTGTGGATAACTGTCTCAAGTTCAGAGCGGGACAGAATGGGACTCAGCCTAGCAATGTTCCTGAGATGGAAGAAGGAAGAGCGAACAAGAGAACTGACATGAGAATCCAGGGTGAGAGCTGGGTCAAAGGTCACGCCAAGATTCCTGACAGAAGGTTTGGTGTGGGAAGCAAGCTGACCAAGAGAGTCTCTGACTTTGGGAACCAGCTTGTCTGGGGCACAGATGAGGATCTCAGTCTTATCTTCATTCAGCTGAAGAAAGCTCCCAGCCATCCAGGTTTTGATAGAGTCTAAGCAGGTGTGTAACAGCTGCAGCTTAGACATCTCATGGGGCTTAAAGGAGATACAGTTGGATGTCATCTGCATAAAGATGGTAGGAGATTCCTTTAAAGGAGCTCAGGATGTGCTGAAGAGGGAGCATATAGAGGAGGAAGAGCAGAGGCCCCAGCACAGAACCTTGTGGGACACCATGGGTAAGGGAGGTGGTGGAGGACCTAAACTTGGACATGGCCACAGAAAAGGAGCGCTCAGAGAGATAAGAGGAGAACTACCCCAGAGCAGTTTCTGATAGGCCTACCCAGTCTCTCAGCCTCTCCAGTAATAGGTGATGGTCAACAGTGTCAAAGGCTGCAGTCAGGTCCAGCAGGACCAGAACAGAACAGTCCCCTGCATCACTGTGAGTCAGAAGGTCATTAGAGACCCTAAGAAGAGCGGTTTCAGTAGAATGAGCTCTACGAAAACCTGACTGGAAGCCGTCATAGATGTTATGTTCATCAAGAGCAGCTGTGAGTTGTTTAGCCACAACCTTTTCCAAGATCTTGGAGATGAATGGAAGTTTAGAGATGGGTCTGAAGCTGCTATGGAGAGAGGGGTCGAGACTCGGTTTTTTAAGAAGTGGGTGGATTACAGCGTTCTTAACATAAGCTGGGACCTGACCAGAAACCAGAGAAGCATTAATTATAGAGAGCACGCTAGGACCGATGGACTGAAAAGCACTTTTAAACAAAGATGAGGGTAAGATGTGGAGGGGGCATGCAGAGGTCTTCATAGAGTTAACTAGTTAAACTTAGTTCACTAGTTAATGAACTTTGTTCAGTAGGGTCAGTGGAGGAGTTTTAAATTTATTGTTAGTTTATTCTAATGGATGAATAACATCTTTGACTAAAAGTCTGAACAATCAATTGAATTATTCAAGATAAAAAAACTCATGTGGACACAAAGTTCAGATTCTTTTAAGCCATTTTTTTCATCCAGTGTCTCCTCAGGGTCTCCACACACACCTGATCTTGTCTTTAAACTTTATTATTTACTTGATAAAGTGAGTCGGAACATTTAATGATTGTTTATGTGTTATAGTTTGCATAAATGTTTTTAACCAGCAGATGCTGTTGTAGAAAGCTGCATAACGCTTATAATCTGAGAGCCCGCATCCTCATATCACATTGGCATCTTGCACTTTGATATTTTATTCTCTTCAACTTATACCTCTTTATTATTCAGACACACTTCATATTGGCTGTTTAAAAGAAAACTTTTTAAAGGAAATTTGTTGATATTTGTATTCAATTTAGTTTACATAAAACCAAATACAAATTCGGGGCTCAGGAGGTTGAATTGTGTTTATATTGAAGTCATTAAAACTACAAAGCAAAAATAGATGTTTGAAATAAAAAGTTAAACGTTTTTATCTGGAAATCTTGTTTTCTCAACCCTTATTGCCACAAATTACTGTATTAAAAAAAAGATTTACAGTGAATGTAGGTGCCAGTATTTTACCAGAGGACATCACCCTCGTGTGTGTGTGCGTGCGTGCGTGTGCGTGTGCGTGTGTGTGTGTGCGCGTGTGTGTGTGTGTGTGTGTGTGTGTGTGTGTGTGTGTGTGTGTGTGTGTGTGTGTGTGTGTGTGTGTGTGTGTGTGTGTGTGTGTGTGTGTGTGTGATGGTTAAGCTGACTGAAGATGTTTGTGTCTCCTTCAGTGAGATGAATGCAAGCATCATAAGGACAGAGCAGCATTATGAGAGGATGATGTACAAAGAGGCTCTGAAGAGCGGCTTCTTCGAGTTTCAGGTACGTCTGATGGTTTGTTTTTTAAACCGCTTACAGAATTTTAGCTTAACCGTTAAAAACTATAGATCAAAGGAAAGAAAAACTAAACGAAATAGAAAAAACATTTTTTAATTAAATAAAATGATTTAAACATCTAAGTACCAGTACATGTGCAACAGATAGGCTTCTAGGATCAGCAGGTATTGTAGGAGACTTTGATTGAAGGGGATGGCTGTTGGCTTAAGCTAAAATGAGACTGTGGTTTAAATGAGAAGAGTTTTGAGGGATTAAACGCATCACATGATGTCATCATCTTTCAGGTTATTTGTACCTAAAGGTAAATTATTTTGCAGCGAGGGAGTCCCATTTAAATGGCAACATCTGTTGCCCCAAATTGCTGCAGATAGACAGTAAACGTAAAAATCGTACAAAACATAATAAAAGAGTTTACAAAAGCATTACAAGAGAATAAAAATCACAAGCAAATGAGATAAAATACATAAAAACAAAATAATTAAACGGCAATAAACGATCACATATGAAAAGGTAAAAAGAGGGAGGAAAAGCGTGCAGCCTGTTATGAAATTCCAAGGCATACGCACGCATTTTCAGCTGTGTTTTAAGAGAGAAACTGCATTCAGTTTGGCATTCAATTCCCAATAAATACAGAAGACTATCAAAGCTTATTATTTTAAAGTGTGGGTCATATTTGTGTAAGGGTTCAGATTCTCAGATGTATTTTAGGTATTTTCTGCATTAAAGTCCTGACCTTGTGCACCAGATGTGTAGCTCTATAGAGAGCTGAAGCTGTTGGGCTGTCACAGATCTCATTTCCTTTTTGCACCTCGTGCAGAACATCACATTTCTAAGCCCTGCTGTACGCCATGGACAGCAGCGAGATGTTGCAGAAACACTACATATAACCATGCAGATAAAACTTTTAATAAAAAAATGTGTTTCAGGCTGCCAAAGATAAGTATCGTGAGCTGGCGATTGAAGGCATGCACAGAGACCTCGTCTTCCAGTTCATAGAGAGACAAACGCTGCTGCTGGCCCCCATCTGTCCCCACCTTTGTGAATACACATGGAGTCTGCTGGGCAACGTAAGTCACCCAGCATCTTTCTGTGTTCTCTCTTCGTCTCATTGTATGGGACCATAAGTCTGACTTTGATTCTCTTTCCTAATCCGCCTCATTCTTATCTCCGTTGGACACATTGATTCAGAACAGAAATGCGGCTAAATAAAGCATTTTACTGTAACGTATTCATGTGCATTCACGAGTCCACCTGGGGGCTCGGAGCCTGAACGTACAGGCTGGCGTTGGCCTGCAGTAGCTCTGCTCCCAGCGCTCGTTTACCTGTGTGAAACGGCTACTAACATGCTCCCTCGGCTGAAGCCACACGTCCGCTGGGAGGCTGTTTTCACGCTGAGCCTTTCTTCTTCTACAGCATGAAACAAGAGCACACGCTGGTACACGCTTCCAGCAGCTCCCAGAGCCAAGAATATTTTTAACACTCGAAATTTATGAATATAAAGGAGTGCTGCTGCGCTGAAAATATGTTTTTCAGTTGTCGCTTAGCAACAACAAAAGCCCCACAACTACTCGTTCCTCTGCTTTGGCGCTTCTGGCTAAAGAGCTGAGCCCCCCCCCCCCCCTCCTTCTGTTAGTAGTGTTTGTCAGGGCAGTTTGCGTTAGTGAGGATTTAAACTCCTTGCATCCGGACACAGAAACTTCCCTCTAACGTGTCTCTCCCGTTTCTGTCTGTCAGACGAGTTCTCTGATGAAGGCGTCGTGGCCCGTGGCGGGGCCCGTTGATGAGATTCTGATTCGTTCCTCTCAGTACCTGATGGAGACTGCTCACGACCTTCGTTTGAGACTCAAAGCCTACATGCTTCCCCCTAAGAATAAGGTAAAATGTGTGCTTTTTGAGAATGGAAAAAAAAATCCCCAAATTAAGAAATAAAACCCAACACTTGTCTAAAGTGTGTTGAAATAGAAGTTTTTTTCCTCTCCGGTGGTGTTTAACTGCTGAGCGTTTGATGGATGTGAAGCACAATGGTGGGAAACATCTTTGGGTAATTTATCTTGTGCCAGTTTGATTATCAAACATCATTTTTGTTTTTATCACAACAAAAATGTCTTTTGTTCTATGACAATTTAACTGTTCAATATGGGATGTAGAAAGCTGAACAAAAGGCGGAACAAGTATCGACAGTGTCTCAGAAAGGCTTTATCTTAGGCTTCCAGGCCACCGTGTGAGATTGGTTATAAATGTTTTGTTGCCATGGAAGCAAGACTGTACGAGGATGGAAAAGAAGAAGGGGGAAGATCTGAAAAGACTGTTTTGCATTAATATTGTTTTTAAAGAATGTTTGTAAAGAGGAGGATGTATTTATTTGGTGAGCTGGTTTTTGATGAGTTTAGAAGGCAGGCTGGAAATATGATTTCATACCCATTTTTTCTCAGGGATCAAATTCCCAATATTACATATTATGTGTTCATTTATCTGACATTTGTGTTTTCCTCCTGGAGAAAGGTGACTCGAAGCCTCCTGCCAAGCCGTCCCACTGCACCATCTACGTAGCCAAGAGCTACCCTCCATGGCAGCACAGTGCCTTGTCCCTGCTCGGCAAGCACTATCAGGTGGAAAACAAACACCTCTTTACACCATTTCCATCATTACAGCAAAAGTTTTTATTAGTAAAATACATGTGTTCACTACACAGCACTGCACTAAAATGTATACCGGTGACTCTACAGCTGTCTCTGGCCCTGACTTGACTTGAAGCTTTTTGTTTTGGTCTGATCAGAGCAACAACGGCGTCCTTCCAGACAACAAAGTCATAGCGAGTGAGTTGGGAGCCCTGCCTGAGCTGAAGAAGTACATGAAGAGAGTCATGCCTTTTGTTGCCATGATCAAGGTAAATCTGATAAGTAAAGTCACATTTCGTCAATTTGCTATTTATGCAGCCTACAGCACAGTTGACCTTTCTGTTCTAATGGATGCCAAAAAGGTAGATGACCTGTTTTGTCGTCTCATCACTCCGCTTCTGATTGTTCTAAGCTCAACAGAGATTCTTGAAGCATCACTGTTCTGTTGCTTTAAAAAGCTTCATTTATTGTGTCAAACAACGAGGAAATGAAGCCAATTGATGTGAAATAATTTGTCTAAGTGCTCCTGGAGAAAACAGTCTAGCTTGTTTGAAAAATTATGAAATTCACCTTTGATCAGCTTCTTTTATCTTTGTTTCCATAGAATATTTATAAATTATGGATTTGTTATCACCTCAGTGACTAGGAAGTTTTTAGTTCTACGCTAACATTTAAGTTTATTGTCAAGTGGTTCATTTTGGTCCGATATATCTTGATTAAAAACAATAGCCAGGTTATTTTTAGTTTGTTTTAAGGTGATCTGTAGCATTTTGTTTTTTACAGGTATTGTGCTATCATGTCATGTGGTCATTCACAGTGCTTAACAAGGGTGCTAGCAAGCGGTTCATGCAAATGGTTATTTTGCATGAAATTGTGCATAGCAAAGATTTTCTAATAGTGTCTTTTGAGATAAAAATCACTAGAACAACAAAAAAAATGAATACAGATCATGATAAAAATAAATGCAAACCAGATATTTCAAGCCTTTATTTATTATAATGTGATGATTATGGTTTACAGCTCATGAAAGCCCTAATTTCAGAATCTCACACAATTAGATTATTGTGGAAAAATAAAATTTTCTAGGCTCCAAGTGTCGCACTCTAATCAGCTAATGAAACCAAAACACCTGCAAAGGGTTCCTGAGTGTTTAGGTGGTCTCTGTTTAAGATGAGTTATTGACATAAAGGGACTTTTGAACTACATTCTCATTTTTAGAGTTTCACCTGTAAATTCACTTTGATCCCATTAACTGATATCTGGTGTCTGTTTTTTTTTTTTTTTAGGAAAGCCTGGAGAAAAACGGACTCAGGGTCTTGGATCTTGAACTGGAGTTTGATGAGCGAGCTGTTCTCATGGAGAACCTGGTCTACTTGACTAATTCTCTGGAGGTTTGTAAACGAAACATAAAAAAACAAGTTCATGTAGGTAGACCAAAATCCAAGTGTAAAACACGGCCATCTCTTGGGTTTTCCCAGAAGTCCTCTACATCTTAGTTTCACCACCTCAGATAAAAAAAAAATCTGTTATTGTATTTGTCGTTAAAGATTTTTGTGGTCTAAGTTCAGAAAGTATCTTTCAGAAATGTTTACGGATCCAAACACCAGCAGAATAACTTGACATGGTTCATATAAGAGTAGGGCTGGATGTTTGCTAGTTTACTTCCTGCTTTTTGACTCCTGAGGGACATGTGGCATCCTGGCGTAAAGCTCGATGTTAAGTCTCAGATCAGTTGGATTTGGGTTAACACCACCCGCCTGTGCCAGTGGGCACGCCGAACGCACAAACGCACCTGTTCACACACCAATGTGTGTTTTCCTGCTATGCTGAGCATTAATGTTTTCTCATGATATTTCCTCGACAGTTGGAGCAGATTGATGTCTTGTTTGCATCCGAGGCTGATGACAAAGTGAAGGAGGACTGTTGCCCTGGGAAACCGTTCAGTGTGTTTAGATCAGAGGTAAATGCTATTTTCTCTATGATTGTTCAAAGGATTCACTTTCAAGATACTAAAGGATAGGTTTGATGTTTCTTCTAACTTTGTTCTCTCTTTGCGTAATTTATGAATGTGACTGCATGTTTGTTTCCCTTGGGCTGCGGGTTTGTTTGTATTTGTGTGCGCATCCTCTTTTTATTCTGTAGCCCAAAAAGTGAAATTGTGCATTTTTCATCCCAGCCTGGAGTAAGTGTCTCCCTGGTTAATCCTCAACCATGCAACGGCCTGTTTTCAACAAAGATTGACATCAGGCAAGGGGACAACAGTGACAACATCATCCGACGGCTAGCTAAAGTCAACAGACTCATAAAAGGTCAGTGAGACAAAAACTAAACCCAAATGGGTCTTAATGTTTGTGCTTTCCTTCAGACAAGATCAAAAAGATTTACTCAGTCTTGAGTAAATCTTTTCTGAGCCTCTGACTCAGCTCAGAGATGCGAAGATTCATATTTTTGGTGCAAAATGTTTCATCCCACCTCTTGGTGGCTTAGCCCATTAAGACATGTTGTGTACAAATCTGTTTAGGAATGGTTCCGCGTCATCTCCCCTGTGCTTTCCCATTGTTCACCATCTGCCATCCATGTTACAGGAGAACTGGGAAAAGATTTACTGGGAAGACTAAAGTAGAAAGTCTTTATTGCTGGTTTATTAAGACATTAAATATTTAGTTTAAAAAAAATTTACCGGTCAGGGATCCAGAATGTTTCCAAGTGCTTCCTTTTAGCTTTAACTACCTTGGAGCCGTCCTTCCAGCTTAGAAGTCCTTCTGCTACAAATTCAGCTGGTTTGGTAGGAGGCAGAGATGTTCACTAGTTATTTTTTCAAACTGCGATTACTTCCACACACGTCACAACTGTACCAAACTTCACACAACACTCAGCAAATGCAAGTGCTGACTGTCAATTTAAGATTCGCTCCCTTGGATTTTATTAAACATTCAAACGGCGCCCCCTTAAACACTGAACATGACTTATGAAGGCTGGCTTGATGGTCCCCCTTCTGGTGAATTTCAGAATTAATCTCTGAGCTTGGAGTGGTCACTGAGGTGGGGGTGCACTATAGTCGTGGTCACGACACGAGGCTGAACAACGCTGCTTGCTGGTTTATCCATTCTAGCATTTCTTTATTTTTACACAATTTCTTTTCAAATCTTCCTAACTGCTCCATCATTTTTGTTTTCCTTTCCCCTCATTTCAAAATAAACACATATTTAAATGTTTTGCTGTCTTATTTTGAAACAGTTTATTTTCAAGTGTACATGTTGTTTGTTCTTCCTTATCCCTGATTCATGTCTGCTTCTGCTCCCTCAGATCTGTCCAGAGTGAAGCTGATGAGGTACGAGGACCCCCTGTTAGGACCTCGCAGGGTGCCTGTTCTAGGACAAGAGGAGCAAGGCAAACTACTCGTCTCCACCAAATCTGTGTTCAACGTAAATTTGCAGGAAAAGAAGGTGACTTTAGCCGACAACGGCCTCACCATAGACATTGGGGACACTCTGGTTTATCTGATCCACTAGAGCAGCATCCAGCTCAACTGATCCATATTTTACAGTGTAACAGGTCATTTTGACACAAAACAACTCAGACTTTTGGCTTCATTTGTTTTTCGTAGCTGATGTTTCTATACATTGGCCTACTGTCCACTGAAAGATCTCCCCAGTTTTGCTGTTAAAGAGAAACTTTAAGACACATTTTGTTGTGAACTAACATTCAGGTTTCAGCTCTGGTTGTCTTAGAGAATTTTGTGCTCAAGAGTTCAAAACATTAAAATAAGGATGTTGTAAAAGTTTTGACCCTTTATTGTGGTTATTAATAAAATAACTTCAATCTGTACTGCAGTACGTGGGCAGCACTTACCTGTGTCAGAAATGCTTTTGCCCACTTTTAATTGCGTTCTCTTTAGATGTGGATGGGTTTAGTTCCTGACTGAAGCGATGTGTGGTAGATATGCATCCCAAACCAGGCCTTATAGGCTCTGCAGAGATCTTCCACCATCTCCTGATTGTCTACACAATCACAACACCTGCTCTGTTCTGAATACCTGAAAGCGTCTCCTGTTCTTTTGCATTTGACATCAATTATGAAACTTGTCCTGTTTTAAATCTGGCTGAGTTATCCACAAAAATAAAACCTATTGAAACTATATTTTGTGTTTTTCTCTCATTTGCATTCAAGTCTCTAAACACACAATAGCTGCAATAAAACACAAGAATGTTTATATTTCATGACATTAAAGTGATTAGTACCACTTGACATTTTATTATTAAATGAAGCTACAAGTACAATAAACTTAAGTTGAGTAAAATATGTATATTACTACAAATGTTTGATCAGGTCAAAAGGTTTTTTGGGGAGCAATGGAAGAACAGTATTTAATTTCAGTTAAATTAAGTTTGTGTATAGCACCAATTCACAACTATTTCTCAAGGCACTTGACGTGATAAACGTTCCAATTGAATCTACTTATTGCATTGAGTTCAGTTCTTTGTGCCGGTTTGGTAACTGTGTTCTAGATAAGGAAACCAGCAGATTGCACCGAGTCACGGACTTGTGTCAATTCTCATACTGAGCAAGCATGTAGCGACGGTGGAGAGGAAAACTCCCGTTAAACAGGAAAAAACCTGGCTAAGTGTGAGCAGCCTCCTAACATGACTCACCGGGGATTTCATTTTTAAGGGAATTTGGCAACAGAAAAAAACCAAAACATTTTCTGAGTCAAGTGTTGACAAATGTTTATTTCATCATCAATCTGTTTAGCAAACAGCTTTTATACACTGGACAAAAATATAAGCGCAACACTTTTGTTTTTGCTCCCATTTTTCACGAGCTGATCTCAAACATCTGAAACTTTGCCTACATGCACAAAAAACCCATGACTCTCAAACACTGTTTTGAAATAGGTCTACATGTGTGTTAGTGAGCACTTTACCAAGATAAACCACCCCATCTCACAGGTGTGGCATATCAAAAGGGCTGATTAGACAGCATGAATAATGTACAGGTGTGCCTTAGACTTCCCACAATAAAATCAGCATCTGTGCTGCCTTTTTTTTAAATATATATTGAGTTGGTAGTTGAATTTTGCACTTAAGCAATGGCTTTTGAGGCTGTTCAAAGTGTCATAATTATAATAAGATGAGATTAGACTCTACTGATCCCACAGTGGGGAAATGTTTGCGTAACCACAGCTCAGACAGATAGCAAATGAGTGCAAAAGTGATGCAAAAATAAAATATAAAGCAGAAACTAAAAAATAATTAATTTAATGACAAATGTACCAATGAAACCATTTTTTTTTGAGTTATCAAGAACCTCTCCACACTATCGTAATAAAAATTGTATTGTGAGCTGGAGCGCCTCCAGAAAATTTTGATGGGGTGGCGTTGATTGTGAGGTTCATATCGTGACGGCATTGCATTGTGAGATTAGGATATTCTTACACCCCTAGTCTGCAGCCACGATGGAAAAAAACTACTTTTTTTTACCACTTTTATCTTTAAAACAACATTTAGACATCTTATAGGTCCACAAATGGACTTAAAAACAGTTTTTTGCATCTGAAAACAGCTAAAAGCAAGTTTCTCTGCTGTCAGTTTAAAGAAAAACAACTTAGGTTTATGTCACTTAGTCCTGTTGTACACAGGTCAACATTAAAACTCATTGTTCATGAAGCGTGTACTAAAACTGAGGCAGATGAGCTACTTTTGAATGAAAGTGACTTGATGAAAATCGATGACGTTTTAAGGAACGTGGGCCTGAACCGATCCTCCAAAGGTGGTGGTTTCACTACGTTGTTCTCCACCACGTACAAAAAAACTCCCCGTCCGTGTTTAAACTCTCACATGTGCAAAAAATTGCTCTAAACTGAAAGGTCAGAGTGAAATCACAGGAAATGAGCCTCCTCTAAGCATAAACCGCAGACGTCTCACTGCTCATTAAAGAAACATTTCTCTTCCTCCTCAGCTCATTTTCTCAGAGGTAAGACCTACATTTACTAAAAATAAATAAAAATATCAGATACTATTGATTTTAATGCTTATCTGTTTGAGAAGTCATTTACACACATTTACTTTATTTCTAAGACTGACTTTGAAGTTGAGCATACATGCATCTATCCACATTTTCCTCCACTGGACCGTCATGCTCCTGCACCCTGGTGTGTGTTGGTCCTCTCTCTCTGCATTTGCTGTATTAACAGAGCTCGCTGCAGAGTCTCAGACAGAAGACAAGTAGAAAACTTATCTCGGTCACGCAGCTTCTGGCTCAGCCATCTGACTGCTGGTTTATCTGCTCCGACACACACCCTCTCACTGGGAGAGTGTCACTTCGCCTCCTCCACCTCCTCTTTTCCTGCTGACTCCCTGCTCACTCTCCTCTTGCCTCCTCGTCTCACCCATCTCTGGATGCCAGTGGCTTCTAGTCATGGATGAGACAACAGTCACACACCAGTAAGTGTTTTTTTTCTCTTTCTGTCCCTACCAGTGCACATTGTTGTCAGCACAGAACCAAACTGAATTACAGCCAACAGCTCTGTTCTACAGCTGTTATTTAATGCTGCTGTTGTGTTATAATAACACAGAAAAAGTCAGTAGCTCTTCATTCTTTTTTCATCACCTTTGATAAATGAAGTTGAAGTGTTTTGCCTTTATTCTGCTTTTCTGTCAAAGACACCCGCTTTATTCAGTCAAGAAGCTTAAGAATTGTTTAAACTATCATTTCAGACCACAAATGTCAGCGGCAGCTTTTCCACAAAATGAGGAAACGGAGGTTTTGGGCTCAACAGGCAACCAGAGGTCCTATCAAGTCCCTGATGAGATGGACCCAGTGCTCATACAGCCGGGCCTCGGCGTCACCACTACAACCATTACCACCGTCACACAGACTGGTGGAGACTGGAGCACCAGCCTGTTTAATGTCTGTGGAGACAAGACATCCTGTAAGGTGAACACACACACACACACACACACGCACGCACGCACGCACGCACGCACGCACACACACACACACACACACACACACACACACACACACACACACACACAGCCATGACTCTGAGAAAAAAAACAAATCTGTGTGTTTGCATCAGTTTATTCCAAATAAGGTAGGCCATAGTATTATCAACACACACGACTTGTCTGTTTCTGCAGGTATCCTCGGGGCGCTGATGCCGGTCTGTTTGGACCTGAGTTTGGCTCACCACTACGGGGAGTGTCTCTGCATTCCTCTCCTTCCTGGATCTACACTGGCCATGCGAGTTGGCATCAGGGAGCGATACAAGATTCGAGTGAGTGTGTGAAAAATCTCCTAAAGGAAGACTTTTAAAACGTCACTTTTAGAAGATAAGAAATCAAATCAATGTAGCTGTAAGACGAGCATCGACGTCTTACGTTAATATCGTTTCATCTAAATGTTGTGAATGTGCATCTGCTGCGTTGTTTTTGTATGTGTGCGTGCTTGCTGTCTGTGTTATTCCACAGGGGAGTGTGTGTGAGGACTGGACCGCGGTGTGTTTTTGTTACCCTCTGGCTTTGTGTCAGATGATAAGAGAGATGAATCGGCGGATGAAGATGCAGACATATCATGTGTCTACTGCAATGGAATGCTCCTGAGAAGACACACACTCAGATCTCTGCTTTTACTGTATAATGCAACAGATGGATCAACAGAGATTTTCATTTTGTTGATATCATTTATTTTGAACTACTTTGGTAGTTTGGTTTTAAAGGGGACATATTATGACCTATTTCTTAAGTTATAATAATTCTATGATTTATACAAAACATTTTAATAAAGTTCTTTTTGCTAAATCCTTCTCACATGAAACAATTTCAGCTGTTTTATTCTTGGCATTTTCAATACCTTCCAGAATAAGCCGTTTCAGGGCTGTCATTTTAAGAAAACAAGCTGGGGCTGGACACACCCACCCATCCATTGGTCAGGCTGCTATAAGCTGAGAGGCTCGATATCCAGGAGGGATTTAGAGTAGAGCTTCTGCTTCTCCAACAGCAGCTCTTTCTTGCACATTAGAGGTGGTTTTATGTTAATTCCCTGTTTGTGACATCACAAATAGGGACTTTTTGAAACAGCTTGTTTTAGGCTTAAAATTCCTGAAAACAATGACAAACAACAGATGGACAGTTTTTTCATGTTTAAATTGTTTATCGAAGCAGCAGAGACCCACATGGTAGAGCAAAATACTGCAAAAGGTAGGTTTTGCATAAAATGTCCCCTTTAAAATATTAAGGAACATAACAACCATGGATTTAAATATTTGTTTAATTCCCATAAACATAACTGTATAAAATATACATATGCAGTTTTCAGTCTAACCTAAAAGAGCTCATTTTGATTGGAAACATTTGATTTTTTTTTCAGTGTCGGCAAACAAGCTGTGAAAATTCAGAGAAAATATCAGTTACACAGGAAAAATCCTAATTCTGTAGGGATCTCACAGAAAGATAGAAAATAATGTAAAAAAAGGCTTTCCTATTTTCTAGGTCTGACTTTTGTCTCTTGACTCTATGACTTATAATCAAATGGGAAAAAAAGCTTAAAAAAGGTTTTCCCCATTTCTAAGAAAAGTATAAATACATTCCAAAACCCTAAAGTGCACAAAAACAAAAATAAAAACACACACACACACACATCCAATTTTTAAGCCTAATTTTTTTTATTCCTACCCCAATAAAAAAAAAACTAACAAGAATTCCACTGCCGTTTATTTCTATGGAGCCCAATGACAACGCTTCATGAAGATAATTTGCCAGCAGAGAAAACAGAATAAACGACGTGTAAAATCTTCTGGATGATTTGCATCTTTATTTTAGTTTATTAAAACAAAGGTCAACCAGACAAATGAATGATTTCTTTCTTGTGATGAGAGGCCACTGAAGCTATTTAGCTTCATGACAACATTTTTTTAAATCTGCCTTAATCTGACAAATGGCTGCACTGTTGTGCAAAAGATCACAAGTCGTCATCTCACACTCACAAAACTATAGTACAACAACCAGCGGCTGCAAGAGTGGTGGTCTGGGAGAGATCATGTCGGGTCGGTCTGATTTTCTTTTAAATGGCAACATGGGCTTGCTTTTAGTGCCCTCTAGTGTCAGTTTGTATAACCAAAAGCAAAATTTATCTCCTTGCTATGCGTTTGTCTTTTTAACTCCTTAATCTAACAACTGAAAGGCCTCTCCAACCTTCATTAGTGTCTTCAGGAGAGATTCATCACTAAATTATACAAATGAGCTGGATTCATGATCTGAAACATGCTGGAACCAGACTGCAGCACCAGGCTTGTCCGCTCCATTTGTGTCCCAACAGAGCGGCCCGCCAGTCTGAAGTTACAAGTGGAATATTCTGGCCACAGGGGGCGATAGGGGCTGGGTGGTCTTTCATTAACTCTGTAAATGGTCATTTTGGCACATACAGGCTCAAGAAAATTATTTCAAAATATGAAAAACTTGTAAAGTATCTCTTTAAGCTTCCCACTGGGTGTATCAGCATCGTTTCAGGGGAGCCATGCTGCCCCGTAGCTACCCCGTCATTCAAACCCTGACAACAGCAGCTGATCTCTTGATCTAAGGCTGCCTGGATGTCTCACCATCCACCAGTTGACTTTATTTTCGTTGCTCACTGACTTTGCTGCTTACTGAAATCCTGAACTCTTCATAAGTTTGTTGATTTTCTTTGCTTTTCTAGTAGAAAACATAAATTCTATCACATTTCTCATCAAACAAAATATTGTTTTGTGTCAAATTTGGAGAAAAATAAAATTCTAATACATCATTTGATTTCCTTAGAGATTAATTGCTATTACAAGTGACAACATGCCTTCTATTGTGTATGCAGACCCACCTGTCTGGCTAACCAGCAGACCACAGTTCCCTTACAAATAGAGTTTGGATATGCTGAAGCCAACTTCTCTGTCCCTGTTATTCTTTTAAATATGTATTCCTTTATTCACACAGAAGCACTGAAGCATTTTATTAATCCAGTCCTGATTGCCGTGGTTCTCTGAACCTGAAATGCCAACCAGAAAGAGCGGATATGAAAATGTTATTTATTCACAAAAGCAGATGGATCCTCAAAGGGCAAATATGTAATTTGGTAATGCTCGCAGATGTAATCTCCCACCTGACCGCTGCCTCAAGAAGAAAGAGGAGAAAATTGGTTTGGAGACAAAAATGGAGAAAGATTTGAATAATAAAAATCTGATCGTTTCAGTAAGGAAATCTGAAAAACGTAAATGTTTTAGGTCTGCCTCAACTTTAAGCTGAATACTTCATCTTTATGCTTCATTAACGTTGGCTTGTGTTAGATTTGAGATGTTTTGCAATGTTTAAAATAAAAAGATGGAAAGTTACTTCTGGTTGGAGCAAGGTGTTCAGTGACTGCCTTTTTACCAACATAGTCAAACTCAATTTCTAAAAATTGACGTAAACCAGTAAATGTGAGCCCCTCTTCTCTAAACTAATTAAAGCACTTCAGGTAAGTAACATCACATAAATTTGCTGTGGTCTCTAGTATGAATGGATGCCTTACGCCTTGTGAGTCATTTCCTGTGGAAATAAAGCTCTGGCGCTCCCATTCCAGGAAGTGGAAGTTGGCGGGGGGGGTGGGGGGGGTGGGGGATTAGTTTTAGTGTCTGACTCATTAACTCATTCGCTGCCAGCCGTTTCCTGATTAGGAAAGTCCTTCGCTGCCAGCGCTTTTACAGTTTTTTTAAAGAGTCACAGAACGTCGCACGCTGGGAAGATGTCAACACCAAAACTATCAAAACAAAGAGTAGACTCACCTCTTACATCAAGAAGAATCCACACGTTTCGAATGTGCTACAGCTGTTGCTGTTTGTCCCAGAAAATTGACGCTGCAGAGGACGATCAGTGCTTTGCCTTCTCCTCCTACCTGCACAGCTGCACTCACCTGGGCTGATCACCTCCTGAGCAGCATAAAAGGGAGAGCTGCCAGGAGGAAGGCAGATACTGGATCTGTGCCAGTTATCTCTTGTGCGCCATTTGTTTGTGTTTTAATGGCTTTTAAATGGGTTTTAGTTGTTTAAGCTTAGTGAAGCTTAAGAGCTTTTAGGAGTTTTTTAACAGACAAGGGACCAGAGTGCTGGTTTCCTCTTGGCTCCTTAACTTGTGTATAGTCAGTGGACTTTGTGTGTGAATGTTTGGGAGCGTTCGGATGTCTGTTTTAAACATCATCCCATAACATCCATTTTAACAATATGATTTAAGTACTTTTAGATTTGGAGCTTTTTGTCTTTTTAAAATCTTTTAATAAAATCATTGTTTACCATTTTAACACCTGAAACACATACCACTGTGTTACTCCCTGTCCTTCTCCGTTTCCACCAGTAGAGGACGCAACAGAGCGTTATCCGTTCTCTCATAATCCGTGATCGGTAGAAGCTTTTCCGGTGCGCTCCTCACTTTTTTTTTACAGCAGCGTCCCAAAATGATCTCCTAACACATGGCTTTGCTGCTTCCTGATCATGTGATGTGTGACGTACGCAGATGAAGATCAGCTTTAGAGCCGGAATGTTTGTTGTCACGGTGCGGAGGCTCGTTCCGACTCCCACACAGTAAAAAAAAATGCAAATGACGATTTTAGTCGTTATTGGCAGTGAATGAGTTAATATTCATGATCTTCAAACATCTCGCTTCTGATTGGCCAACGGCAACACAACTCCTCCGCCCCCGTTTGCTCTGCAATGTTCACGTTTCCATTTGAGCCAAAAAACAGAGAAATCTCATAAACGTGACCTCAGATGTGTCGCAGTCGAACAATTTGGGTGAGAGGAGAAGTAGCGGAGGAGTCTGATGTGTCAAATAATGCATGGTACGCACGTGTTGTGTCAAAAGAGTGAATACTAATACCGAGCAGAGGAGTGTCCGTCCCTTACTCTGAAGGCTGCAGGTTTGAGCACCATTCAGTCTGCTGTTGTGTCCTTGGGCAAGACACAACCTGCCCTGCCTGCTGCTGGTAGTCAGAGGGTCTTGTGGTGCCTGTGTATGACAGCCTCACCTCTGTCAGTGCACCCCAGGGCAGCTGTGGCTACATTGTAGCTCACCACCACCAGAGTGTGAATATGTGTGTGTGCATGGGTGCCTTAGGGGGTTCTAAGATTCTAGAAAGCACTATGCCAAATACAAACTATTCACCACTTACAATGTGACAGAGTGAGCTATTTTGGTTTCACAAAGGTTGGCCAAGTGATTGAAGATAATAAAAGAATATTCAACTTCTATTTTCCCCCTGACGCTTGCAGATGCCAAAACAAGTTATGTCCATTTTTGTGTTTCCTAAGGTCAGACGGGTGTGGTGGCCATCTTGAATTGAGTTGCCTACCAACGTTAGTCAGCTGTGCATCTAATTCTAATGCTGAGGCAACATAAAAACCTTTTAATCCACCTTAACTCCTGTCTCCCATCTTTAAAACCCAAGACGGTTGCTTAAATATTAATGCCATAAATAAAGTTTGCATTGGTCTCCTTTGTTTCCCACGCGGTGCCAAGTAGACAAATAGCTACTGGTGCAGCTCCTGCTCGGTGCCTGTTGGGGGTTGTTAGAGAGCAGCATCTGCCTCGAGCTGCAACTGCATTCAAGCACTGTGGTAACATCTTCCCCTCGCTGAGAAATGACCACGATGCTAATGTTACTGCTCAAGCATCAGTGCTTCTCAAATGAGTTGGTAAATTGGAAGTCTGTTTGCTTTGCAGATCAATTGCTCTCTCTTATAGTTTACTACCAATCATTCAAACTTCATCCAGACACTTAGAAATGGTATCAATGGCCTCTCTCACCCTTTTTTTTGCTTACAAGATTCAGACTTACTGCTAACAAAAACATGCCTGAGGGTCATTATTTTTCTTGGAGGGAATTATGACCTGGCATTTGAGGACTATTCAAGATTTAGAGTTTATGAGAACACATAAATAACCAAAATACTGTTTCTAAATGTCGGCTCAATAGAAACAATGTACTTCAGCTGTAATCATCATCTTTTTATCAATTTATATCATGTTGGTTTTGAATTCTAGTCATAAAATGATAGTTGTCACAACATTTTGTATGTAAAGTTAATTTATTTTTTTATCTTTGCTGTTGTTGACAGTCAAGCTAACAAGTAAAGAACATCCATCGATTTTTTGCTGAGGTTGTAAAGATTTTTTTTAACTCAGTACATTTTCAACCCTTTAATAATTGATAACTTTTAATTCATCCATTCATTCTTTTTTTAAATGTATTTTCTAATTTTGTATTTTAGTACAATTAAGGTTATAATATAATGCAGGGAAATAATCTAAGAAAGAACATTAATATTAGTGCCATTAAATCTCATTTTTCTGTTTTATTGTTGTTTAAGGACAGTTAAATATTGGGTCTAGAATGCATTTCAAGGCTTATTCCTATAGTTACCTGAAAGCAACTAGTAAATGATTTAGGTTTGATCTATGTTGTTGTATCGTGTCTAGCTCTTTTCAAAGCTGAGCCTCCTGTATTTAACATCATCCAAGACTTCCGTTGCCTAAATAAATTGTTTAAAAATGATACATTATCCGTCCACTTATTTTCAGCTGCTTATCTGGTGTTGGGATGTTGGGGCATCAGCCTAAGCAGAGAGGCCCAGACTTCCCTCTCCCCAGCCACTTGGGCCAGCTCCTCTGGGGAATCCCAAGGCGTTTCCTGGCCAGCCGAGAGACATAGTTCCTCCAGCGTGTCCTGGGCTTTCCTTTAGGCCTCCTCCCGGTTGGACATGCCCATAAAACCTCACCAAGAGGTGTCCAGGAG